AACTTAAAAGGCTGCCCCCTTGGAACTCTGGAATTATCTCTGTAAGCAGGACCTCTGTCCTAGTTTGGACCTTGCATTCCCTGTCAGATGTTCATCGCTGGGTCTCCTCTCTGCATTTAATTCTCCCAACCTCTCCCTTGGGAGTGGGAAATTCAGGTGTGGGATGGAGAATAGGACCCATTTGTTGTGCTGTTGTCGTTCAGCGCTAGCAGCGTGCTCAATGAGTCCATTCAGGGGTTTTGGAGCCCAGACACAAGCACTTTTGTTTTCCTTGGGTCCTGCTCCAGAAAGGTCACATTTGCCTTTTCACAGTCAGAGGATTCCTGTGTGGGGGTGGCTGCTGCAGACCTTCTGAGGGGAAGCACCCAACTTRTTTTCTATTCACGGGCCTGCTCCAAAAACCTGCAAACAAGGATAAGTAATATAACCCTATCATACCCCTGCCTACTTCTTTTTTTTTTGCTTATGGATAGATTTTCCAGGACAAAAAGTCATTTTATGTACCAGAATTTAAGAAAACAGCATCTCCTTTACTTGGCAACAKGCCTGGGAAATCAGTTTATGAAAAAACAATGTATTTTTGCTCTTGAGATTGGAGTGGCTTTACTTTATTCACATGTACAGAAAGCAGTGATTAAAGAAACAGAAGTGTCTTTAAASATTATTTATACCAAGGGATTCAAGTAGCTGCATAGTGTGGGACAAGTGTGTGTTTTAATGCTTTGAAACATGATATGGCAGCACAGCAATCTATTAAACACAGTGGTGTGGAGTCTTGACACCGAAGGCACTTGTTAACTTCTGCTGGACACACTGAAAGAAAATACTGATGTGTTCCATAAGAAGATCCATGACTGGATCACACAGAATGAGATATTTAATTTTTTTTTCTGGTTAATGCTGGCAATTACTACTGCATTTGTAACAAAACAGAAATAGGCCTTTGGTCAAAGCCATCTTTTTGCATTCCCTGAATACTCAGGGGTGCTAACACAGTATTAAAGGACAGGATTTGGCCCTGGAATTCACAAGCTGCTCTTTCACAACAACCGCCTCCTGTTTCCTCATTCGCCTTGTGAGCAGTAAATCTTTCTGGTCATTTCATGCTATCTATCACATATCATTGGGATGGGCCAAATACAATGCTTCAGTTTCTTCTCGTAGTTCAAGGATTTAGCAGCCAAATATGGAAAMACAGATGAAGCTTTAAAATATATGGTGGTACTTAGAGAAAAATACAGAAACATCTGAAAGAAATGTTTATTTTTTTCTGTACATTATTCCAACTCCAATTAATTTATGGTTGCTGCTGGGAAAAGAATATTGATCATAAAAATGAAATGCTGGTGGGAAATCCTTAGGCTTCTGTAATGGAATATTCCTTTCAGGATGAAATATGAGAATTATGAGCTTGATTTTACTGCTGCTGAAGCCAGTGGCTGAATGCCCAATTGCCTTCAACTGAAGCAGGATTGAGTCTTCTCTTTTGCAGAAGGATATCTTAAACAGTCAGTAATTCTTAATCTCTGTGTTAAAGTACTCTTCCATTTGCTAAATTTTTAGTTCTGTTTCAAGCCTGGAGCCATTTGACTGAAGTTGTATTTGATGTATTTTCTGGAAGTCTGTTTTCTGAGTCTGCTTCAGAGTCCGTTTCTGTGTTCTCAAATAGGAGAGAACATATTTGATTAAAGCCACACCTTAGATAGTTTCCCTATCATATTTGCAAACAAAAGAGCTTTATGTGTCAAGATGCTTTTTCTATGAAAAAAGCTTTCCCCCTTCAAAGAGAGTGATTTTCCTTTACTGGAATCAAGTGCATTTGAGACAGMTGTATAAAAGGCCTAAAATTCTTGGAAAATAATGTTATGAGCATTTGATGAATGATTTTATTTTTTTTTWAAGAGACGAGTATCATCAGCACAGTGTGTGTTTTTTAGCTTGGATGCTGAGCTCTGAGAATGTGTAAAAGACATGCTGTTTAACTTGTCTACTCTGACATAAAAAGTAAACTTGGAATCTTTCTGGAGGTTCATCTGACTAAAGCATAATAAATTGGTCACTGGCTCTTTTAAAAATATGATAAAAAKAAAAAAAGTTAGGGAATTTCAGAAGTTTATCATGTACTTGATTTTCCTCTTCAGGGTTTTGCTGTAACCAAGAGAGAACACATTTATTTTTTTTGATAAAAAAGAGTTTGGTCATCTCATAAGAACTCCAGAAGTCATACAACTATAAGGAGAAGATTAACTATCATGATATTTGCAGAAAGATCATGAGGAATGGGAATAGTGTGTGTATCCARTAGGGGTTTCCAAAACCTGAAGACTACCTCAGAAAAATGTTTTTGGGGCTTGATTTAGTGCCCAAATGTGAAATAATAATTTCTGATAATTTCAAGTATGGCCTCATTGTATATTCCAGAGCAGAATTTGCAAAAAATTCAGATTGAAATTAGAAGTGCTAACCAAAAAAAATCAAGGAAGTGGTAAATAATTGCAAGGAGTATTATTCCATGAAATAAAGTGTGGGCAAAGTTGCAAACTCTTTGCTGGAGCTTTACACGGGTAAAATCTGTTTAAATGAAGGCTCTCTTCCATCCCTTCCTGCCTTTCTTTCAAAGACTGTGCCCAGATTCCAAAACAGATGTGGGTGTTAGGAGCAGACCATAGCCCATTCTCCAGGACACGTCTTCTTCCTCAGGATGCAAAAAGCATCCTAGGGAGACTGTAAAACTCTGCCCAGATGTGAACAGACCTGTTTCAAATAKGAAGACCTATGACTCAGTTCCCTAAAGACTTGGTAGAAAAAGTMATGCAAAGCTCTGCTTTTGCAGAACTCCTGGAGAAAGATCAATGTAAAGCCATGGAAATACTTGTATCTTATCTCTGTACAAAAGGGATAGGAATAGGGCTAAGTGAGTTACCAATAGAAACCTTTTTCACAGCTCTGGTTCTAGCAGACAGCTGAGAGTTGAAGGAGAGCAAAAGTTCCCAAACCAATCAAGCAAGCAACAAAAATACCCCAAACACAAACAAAAAGGAATTAAAGAGTTAGTGATTCTCTTGCTCCACTATCTCTTCTTGTAACCAAAGCAATTATCAACATCAGTGCTCTAAAACAGATATTCATCTTCCACCTAGGTGTTTTCAGATCCTGTCCTGTTTTCACAGAAATGAAGCACCTTTGGCATACATGGAAATCACAGAATCTCCAGGTGATGCTAAGGTTGAAATTCTTTTTCGTATTTATGTTAAACTCTGACTAGTACTTAAGGCAGCTRTTTATGCATCAAATAACTAAAAGTCTCAGTACAAAATTGGTCTCTGTTCTCTCTGCCCAAAGCCCTGATGCCTTCCAATTCSTGGTAATACCCAGGGTTTTAAGGCTTATAAAGTTGACCTAGTAGCTAGTGTTTCCAGAGATAAACATCTAAGACATTTTCAAAGCTGCAGTTTCTTTACAGTGCCTCTGCCGTGGTGTGCTGGAAAGCATGATGTGAATTGACATTTTTGATGTCTGGGATTTTCCCTCTTTGCCTGTTGAAGACTTAGTACTGTTTGCCTGCTTGTTCTCCATCTGTCCCATAAGAATATTTATTCTTCTCCTATAATGATGTGCTGAAGGCTATTCTGTTTAGCTAAATATAGTATATTGCCCATTTGTATTAAATATAAAAGTAGTTTCAGAAATGTGTGGAAGAAGGGGGTGGAGTGTCTCATTTTTGTTGGCAACTTTATGGGAAATGTGAAGCTCCATCTCATGTTAGAATTTTATATTATGTTGTATTATATATTATAAATATGTTTGTCATATCTCTCCTAATAAGTCAAAGTGAACTGAATAGCTTCTCTGAGTAATCAGAAAACAAAAACTCTTGGGATTAGCACAGTTTCCTTCAATCAATGGACCTTGAAATGGTGCACACTTCTAAGCAGCATTGTTGTTCTATTCCTCCTGTGCATGAGGAGCTGTAATTATGATAAGCATGATGAATGCGTCAGGCTGCAGTGCCTGGCAGTCTTCTGGAAATTCAGTTGTTTGTTCAGACCTGTGACAGAGCCACCTGTCTTCTCTACTTGGTAAGTGGAGTAAAGACTAAATAAGATAAAGTTGTTTTGGGCGTAGAATTGTCTCCATACACCTCAATCTTCCACCATCCTTACTGTAGATGGAGGTGATCATGGCAGTGCTGCCAGGCTTTATAGATCTTAGCTGTTCGAAAGCAAGATCAGGGAACAGATACTGCCTGTAACCCAGTTAATTTGGCTACAGTAGTTACTGCTTCTCCTTTCAGTGCGATACTGTTTCAAATGTCTGTTCCCTCCATATCTCCAAATGTCTCAATTTCATCTTCTTCCTCACCTTGATGAAGACCGGAGTCYTGGTCTTGCCATATGAAATCAATACATGAAAAAGATACGTGGTTGTCACTATTGGCCAGTGTCTTATAAGAACCTTGGGTGTGGTCTCAGAGAAAATGCAAAGGAGGAAGTTTGAATGTGTTCATGGAACACATCAGGAGAGCGTGTCTCCTGTGTAAAGGCGAGGGAGGGGAAAGGGATCATCACTGGAGAAAGGAATAAACAGCATAATCTGCCTAGCAGATTGTTGCAATTAGTGACTGAGGGCACTTAGTAGGATGAGGGCAGAAAGAAGGCACTTAGTAGGATGAGGGCAGAAAGAAGTACAGGTATGTGAAGTGGAAAGGTTTTATTTTCATGGAGTGTGGGTCAGCAAAGCACTCTGCAAAGAATACAGAAGACTCAGAGCAAGAGGACTGGCTGGTGGGAGGGAGCAGCATAAAGATACAGGAAACAGCTGAAAATAATTTCATGAAAAATGGGGAGCAGAGGGGTGGCTTGTGGAGAGAAACATTTTCAGCTGAGAAAAAATGCCCATTATCTTTCACTGTATTTCTATTTATACATCTGTGACATGTTCTAAGTCAGAATTGCATTTTCCTCTGTGTTTGGAAGGTCTCTTGCATGCTTTTGTATGTTACAGAAAACAGTGCATACAATACACATGGGCTATTATTGCCTACAGAGTAACAGTCTAAGCTTGAAGTAACACCTCAGGTTTTTGGTTTTTTTTTGTCTATAAAAGTCCTTCAGTAAAATCTAGGTTTTTTTGTATGTGTGAAAAGTCCATATGAGTTTTTTTTTAAGTTGATTAAATCTCCAGCAGGGAAAGAATATTTTTATTTGTCCAGACCTTGCTCTAATGATGAGTTATTTATCTTACAGGTGGTGTTTGCAAGCAGGAGATGCTCCAGAAGAAGAATGCTGTTTTGGTGGATGGGGTCATGCTAAATGGTCCAATAATGGACTCAAAAGCAGGAGAGAAGTTTGTGGAAGAGGCCTGTAAGATTATAATGGAAGAAATTGTCCAAAAGGCAGATGATGTAACAGAAAAGGTAAAGCCATAGAGTGTTGTTGAGAATTTCTAGTGAAGATAATGAACAATAAATAGTTTTTTTTTTAAAATAAACTTATTTTATTGCACTCTAAGTAGTCTCAAAATTTGTCCTAGTCTGTGTCTGGCTCAAAAATAAAAAGACAGCYTTACAAATCAATAAAGAATATATTAGAAAACCTTCCAATAGCATAATTAGCACCTATATCTGTCAGAAAAATAGGTGGGTTTTTTTCATCAGGGAGTACAATGGCCATTTTCTGTGAGATCACAAATGGCTGTAGTGTTTTTCTTGTTTTGGGTGGGATTGAGTTATTTGTTTGCTCCTCAGGGGCACAAGTGTTGGAAACAGAGGAACAGTGGGTGTGGTACCACAGTGAAAAGACAACATTACGAGATTGCTTTGGGTTCTGCAGAACCTGCTTAAGAGGCTGCGTGGGAAGAGGTCCTGCAAACAAATCATGCCTTGCTTTTGGACATGTTGCTCCCACCCCTTGGCAGAACAGCATCTGAAAATGCTGTGATTACAAATCCTTAGCTAGGGACAGAATTTAAGCTGCAGGCCTCTTTCTTTTCTGCCTTGCAGCATTTCCCACTCTAATTTTTATGGCTGAGTGCTGCCTGAGACATGATAAAACCAACATCCCACGAGGCCAGTTTACTGGATAAGTTTTCTGGTGGCATGCTGCCCAGCCACGGGAAGTTTTGTGAAAGCAGTGCTGAATGGGGTGATTACATTTTTCCTCTATAACCTCTGGCTAACCTGTTCACTGATGGTGTCTGCCCCGCTCCCCATCTCTAGGTGTGTGAATGGCAAGCCCCTGAAACGCTAAAGCAGATTCTTGACCTGGAAATGAGGGACACTGGAGAATGTCATCAGAAGATCCTGCAGCTCTGCCGTGATGTTATAAAATACAGCGTCAAAACCAGTAGGAACGGGGTTTTAAGCACAGTTATTTTGTATGCCGACTTAGAAAGATGGGATCATGTTTACAAAGCTTTGTCATCTTTCAGGGAACCAGGGATGTGAATGTTTGTTTCCCTCCTGCCTATACAAGTGTGCAAACTGCTGTTTGCCTGAATTCTGGTCACCATAGGCTTGATTAAAATATGTAATAATGGGAAACTAATAAAAAACTAACTAATGTAATGCCATTTGCATTAATAGCAGATTCTGTCATTTTGAAGTCTTGGGAAGGTCACCTAGAAAAATGGTATAACAATTTAGCAAAATAGGCAGGAAAAGGACCTTTATGTGTGAATTCCTGCTGTCTGAGGGATGATATTTGGAGTGACCAACATTGCCCTCATATATTCTTAGTGATGATTACCCTCCATTTATTATTGTTCTATTTGGGCAATCGTCTTGTACAGTGTTAATTTTCTGATGGGCAGTAATTCCTGTTCCAGACACCATGAGAAGAGAGCCTGCAGTGTTTCAGAGACAGTAGACCACAGCTCTGCAGGATTAGTTCTCTACAGCTACCCTTTCTGCAGCATGGACAGGGTAATTCAGTCTTGGTGAAAAGGGATGAACAACATCTGCTCAGGAAACAGCACGGTGAATCAGTAGCTCAGGATTTCAGACGTTGTATGGCTTAGGCTGTACTGTGAGAAAGACATTTAACATAGTTAGTTGTGCATTTCCAGGCTGTATTCCCTGCTACAGTCACTGTTGCTGCAGAGTAAAACCATAAAATAATTTCGAGAGGGAACTTATGCCTTTGAAAACCATGGCAGAGTAGTGATACTGATCTGCAGAGGGAGTGCAATAATAATATGCAGATATAATTACTGAGTCACTGGAAGATGTTCTGTTTATCTTATCCCTGCAAATTGCCTTTAGATTATAATTTGTCACACTATGTCACCTGAGAAAGGATGTCATATATAAAAATATGCTGTGCAAATAGTCTTTCATTTAAGTATAGACATTTATTGACATCCCAGATATAATATAAATGGAGCCATACTGTTTATCTGATTTTGCATGTAAAAATACTGTGCTATGGATTAAAATTTAGGTGGTGATCCCACTGTTGAACTGAGTTGTTTTTATAGTCAGCAATAATATAGAATTTTGTCAAAATTAGTTATATTTCAGTGTTTCAAGGCAGGTAAACAAATTTTCTTAACTTCTCATTCATTTTAAGTGTGCAGCAAATTTTTCCAAGCTGTTAGAGGGTCTCTCTCTCTCAGTGTTGAGACTTTGGTGGGAGCAAAGGCACAGCTGCCTGGCATCAGCAGGTTCCTACCTTAGGCCTTCCTTAACCTACAGCTTAGCAAAATTTGGCTGAGCATCTATTGTGGCTTCTCAAAACCACTGTTTAAAGTCACTGTGTTCACTCAATTGTCAAACACTTTTATTTTTTGATTTATAAAACTTGTGAACAGCTCTCATTCATTCTGTGTGCTGCTTGCATTTCTCAAGCCGTGTTTTGAGGTTTGGAAGTGCTTATTAAATTTACTTTCAAAGGAACGCTTAACTTAAGGAAAGGACAGCAAATCAGGAGAATACTGAGAGAAATTGTTTGCAATGATCAGCATTCAGCTGAGAGGGACTGTGATGTRTTCTCTTTTCTTGTATACCCTGTCACTTGTTTTGTCATCTGTATTTTCAGATCATCCAAGATTTTTCAATCAGCTGTATGCTGGAATAGATTATTACTCGTTAGTGGCTCGTTTCATTACAGAAGCACTCAACCCCAGTGTGTAAGTGTGGTGCTTTTTCTTCTTGATGATGAATTAGCATGTTTTTTGGAATAACAGCTTTTTTTTTTTTTTTTTTTTTTTNTTTTTGGAATAACAGCTTTTTTTTTTTTTTTTTTGTTTTGTTTTGTTTTGTTTTGTTTTGTTTTGTTTTGTTTTGGCTTCCTTGCTTCTGGTTTCTGTTTTCAGTGTTACAGAAGAGGTAGGAATTTGGGAGTGAAAACAAGCTAATTCAGATTGGTTGAAGATGGAGTTTGAGAGAAGTTGGGTTTTCCCCCAATGCTATTAAGCCTAGACTTTTATCTTAGTATGTAAAAATGAATAAACCGGACTTAGTTGTTCATATATTTTGAGGCATACTGCACAGAGTTGGATGCAAATGGTTACCTGTCTACTGCTTACTTGCAAATGTAAAGCTGAAATTTAAGAGTGTGACCTACATTAAGAGAAAGCTCTGGTGTATTTGAGAGTGGAAGTGTCAGTGAGATGCTGCCAGGAATCAAGCAATTGCTCGACTGGAACAGATCCATAATGTTTATAGTTTTGAGTTCTACTGCTGGTGGTGATCAGCTGCTGATAGATTAGAGAAAGGTGCAAGAAGCCTTYATYTAGTTTTAGCAATACTCTGTGCCAYGATTTCTGTASTTTTAATACAAATTATCATGCTATTATTTCTCCTTAGATACACATATGAAGTATCCCCTGTGTTTCTGTTGGTGGAAGAAGCARTCATCAAGAAAATGATTGAATTCATAGGCTGGGAAGGTGGTGATGGTATATTTAACCCAGGTAGGAACTGTTCAGACCTCRAGATGAGTCATTACAAACTGCCTAATACCATAAATTCTACAAATATTTGAGTCATGTAGAATATTTGAAAATGCATGCAAAAGTCTAGTGATACACAAAACTATTTAATGTAGGCTTATCTTATGTGTTTCTAGCTATAATTTGATGATCATGAATGGATGAATGAATGAATGAATGAATGAATGAATGAATGAATGAATGAATGAATGAATGAATACAGTTCCACATTAAATATACTTATATGGAATTAATTGTTAGTAGATGGTGCCCTTCCTGGCCTTATTTACAATACCAACTGCCTCACTGCAAGGAGTCAACTTATCTGACAGACAGGGAGCTGATTTTTGTGCTAGACAGCAACCCATGGAGCCTGAGGGCATAGATCTGTGCATCCTGCCTAAGAACTGTGGGAGYAAGGGTTTACATGATCTTAACTCCTTTGAATTTTTATAATTTTATTAAATGTTTTGATAAGGCCATTTAAGAACAGCTAGTTCTTAAACTGTTTGATAAGACATGTTTTTCTGATGTTCTGTAAGGCAGTGTTCCAGCCCATTGCATTGAAATAAAGAAGCATAATGGTGATATTTCACAGATTATTCAGATAACAAATAATGAGGGTAGATGTGAAGCTTTTGTATCTAATTTAGGGGTGAGAAGAGAAATTAAATGAGTACATGAATTTAAACTCCCCATTCAAAATWGAAACAAAGTCAATAATTATAGCCTAACATGAATAGTAGAAAAATAAATAAGCTAAAATTCYCYATTTTTTKSAWWWWAWWAWT